TCTTATCAGCATGGAGACAAATGTCTTTCAGAAAATATTTGACTTCCATAAGAACTGAAACTGAAATATTATATTATATACTTCAAAGCAACCATAAGAAGAGCATGCAAAGTAGCAAAATGCCAGTAATCATCCTACGTTAGATGAATACCATACAGGTTCTACTGTGACACCCATTACACGAAAATTCATTCAACAAGCATGTAAAGCATGTGGTGCCAAGACAATAACAAGGATAGAACATTCAACATAAGAACTTACGAAGAAGGCAACAATGGCAGTGGAAAGCGCGAGAAATCCATACTTGGCCATACCCTCGGAAATGCCGACAAAAGCATTTGCAATCCCAAACATAATCTTCCAAAGCAGAGCACAGACCAAAACCGCTCCCCCTCCCAGCAGGACCAAGTAATTATTTTTACAAAATGCATCAATCTGCAACCCAATAGCCTCACGATAACGCGAGAAAGCGGAGGTAACGGCTGCCACTGGCTTATCAAAAACATTCTTTGCGAAATTGCCATCAACTTTTTTCCCTAAACCTGAGCTCTTCAAGGAGAAGAATCTAATCCCCGATGACAAATTCGGTTGAGGTTTGGCCAACGCCAAGCCCAAGGGATTGAAGCATTGTCGAGGATTGTGTTGTGAGCAATAAAGAACCTGGGATAAACGGAGTTTTGAAGAAGTGGGATTTGAAGAGAGAGAGTGGAAATGGAGCTTAGATGGAAACATAGAGGATCCATTTGAGGGGAAACGAGAAGAAGAAGAAGAAAACCGAACGGGATCAAGACATGCAGACATGGCGTCCGAGGAGGGTTTTGACATGGTTGATAAGTTGCCTCCATTGAAGCGCAACCTGAGAAGACCCTGAATGAGTCTTGCAGAGGGTTTTGACATTTTCGGTTTCTTGATTGAAACTCTGGGGTTTAGATTCCAAAAGCGGACAAACCAGAGAGCAGTCTACAATTTTTTGAATCTCGGGGATTAAAGATTCAGTAGCGGTGAAGATAAGAACAAAAACTGATGTAATGCGTTATATGGATCCTATAGTAGAAGATTACCTCTAATTAGAAGGAAGAAAAGCTGCAGACTTTTGATCAGGACAAGGTAAATAGCGGTGGCTCTGTCTTCGTCGTCAGTCGAATATAATCATTAGATTAATTCTACGTTACAGAACAAATAAGCAAGTGTTAGCGAGCTTTAGAGCTCTCCGATGGAGATGCCGACCAGGCACCCCATTTGAGCTCTTCTTTATATTGTATGTGCCAGCCCCAGCACCCGCAGGAAATCGGGTCGGATCTTCCCAAATTAGCCGGTATTCTGTTTTTTTATTTTTTAAACCCAGACACCCATTCCCAAATTATCGTGCTTTAAAACGACGCCGTGTCGACCCTCTAAGCGTAAAAACGACGCCGTCTCGACCCTATAAATCTTTCTTACGCATGTTTTGTTCTTTACTTGCCACGTTTCAGGGCCTCTACTTGTCAGGCGGTCTAGAGCGACAAAGCTTGGAGGAATTGGATTTATCATCGGTTCCCCTCCATCCCAAAACAACTACAACAATGAAAATCATTTCCGTAGCTTGCTTGCAGGACAATTACGCTTACTTGTATGTACATCTCTCTCTCCCCTTGTCTGTTCGGCTTCTTTGGGATTCTGCTCCTGCTGATTTGATTTGATTATTGTTCTGGTTTTTCTTTTTTGTTTTTTAACCTTGCTGGCGTTTCTTTCTTTGTTGAAAAATTAGGATTCTTGACGAGATCACCAGAGATGCGGTGGTTGTGGATCCAGTAGAACCGGAGAAGGTTGTCGATGCTGCCAAGCATCATGGTGCCCAACTCAAGATCGTTCTTACTACTCATCACCACTGGTACCCTCTTATATTATAACTCTTTTCTTTAATCCTATGCTCTTTTTCTTTTCTCTTGGACCCTCAAAGTTAGGTCTTCTTCGAGTTTGATTGATTGTTCAAGTTAGTTTTTTGGTGGAGCCATAATACAACTCCGTAGTTTTTGTTTCTTGGGTTGAATTCATTGTAAACCCTTTAGGCTAATCTTAATAACAGTTCCGTAGCTTCTCAAATTAATTGCTTTTTAGTTTCATGAAAGTTTGCTGTGGTTTCGCTCAATGTTTGGGATAACCGTAGCTTGTTCTATGAGTTTCAAAAGTGTTGTGAAAATACTTATTTGCTAAAATTGCTCTTAGTCAAAATAGTTATTTACTTCAGCATTTTTAATCAAAAGTTATTGGGTAGTTAGTAAAAATAACGGTAAAAAGTACTATTTTGTCTTTGGCGAACATGACTATTGAGAGTTTAAGTATATTTTTGGGATATAAAGGCCAAGACTAAAAGTCCAGTCAAATGCATGATCACTTGGTACCCGATTAACAACGTCAAAGTCCTTGTTTGTGCTCTATCCTTTAAGAATTCAAATTGGATTTAAAAATGAATAAATCATCACTTATGACAGGGATCATGCCGGTGGGAACGATAAGATAAAGCAACTGGTGCCAGGTATCAGAGTTTACGGTGGTTCTATAGATAATGTGAGGGGTTGCACTGATAAAGTTAATAATGGCGATAAGTTGTCACTTGGTGCTGATATTAACATACTGTGTCTACATACACCTTGGTATGCTCCTATTACTTTGAAAATTTTGGTTGGATCAGTATCACAAAAGAATCAATGTTTTAGTTGCTCAAATCTCCATTCAGCCAAAGGATACTTAGTGATTGCTCTTATTGTCAAGTCATGATCATCATCTCATCATTTTACCTAATATTCCTATGCACCTTTGTGGCATGGAAAATGCATGCCATTTTTTTAACCATATTACTGAATTAGTATTCCATTTTCCCTTCTTAGACAGTATCTTACCTTTTTTCTGCCTTTATCAGCCACACGAAAGGTCACATAAGTTACTATATAACTGGCCATGAACGAGATGACCCTGCAGTTTTCACGGGAGACACACTGGTAAGTCAGGAGAGGGTATTTCAAAAATTTTCCTGGTGGTAGTTACCTATATATGATATACTCACATATCCTATTCTCAAACCATCCTTGGCCTGACATAGTTGTGAAACAAAGCTCCATTTACCCATGGAGAAAGGCAGGGGGAGAGATACTAAAGTGAAAAAACAAAGCAAGAAAGTCTAGGATGGACTGATCGGTATTCTCAAGGCTTGGATAAATCAAAGATTGTTTTCTTAGAGTATGGCACTATTTTTTCATCTATAGTTATAAATTAAATCTTTAAGCCATTAAAAATCTAGACTAAGCTGTGATCTCTTTCAAGATCCTCTGCCTGGTGATATACTGGTAAAATTACGGCATAATAAAATTTTGTCCTTGATGCATCTAATTATGTAGCTAAGGCAGTCATTTAGCCTTTTTCTTTTTTCACATTGCAGTTTGTTGCGGGTTGTGGAAAATTTTTTGAAGGGACAGCGGAGCAGATGTATCAATCGCTTTGTGTAACTTTGAGTTCATTACCAAAACCAACTCGTATTTACTGTGGTCATGAGGTAAAAGAATATGCCAATATTCCTTTTCTTAGATTAATCTTGAAACTTTACTATATTGTAAAATCCTGATATCTCTACTGGATGAGGAGATCCATCCTATATTTGTATTTAGCCATATATTGACCCTTTTTAACTGGAAATGCTCAAGTATCATCTCTCTTTAATAGCTTAGCACAACGGTCACACCAAAAATTGGTAGGCTCTAGTAGAACGGAGGACTGGAGATCAGCCCTCGGATTCTATCAGTCACAATATTTCAAGGATTAACATTTTGGGAGTAACCTCCTAAAGAACTAGGTAGGCCGTCAGGGTATGATATTTTAAAGGTCATCTGTCCCAGAATTGTTTCTATTCAGTGGCTTTCACCCATAACTCCCTTTGATATGATTAAAACAACTAAATAAATTAATATAATTTCACTGACTACTAAGAGGAAGAAACACCAAGTTTTTATGAAGAACTTCAAGAATATAATTCATTAGTTGTCTTCTCTTGTTTGGTGTACAGGTTTACATATTCCTAAAAGGGAAAGAAATATAAACAAAGAAATTATAGTCCATCCCACATTGTTTTATAGGAGAAAATATGCTATCTATTTGCGGTCCAAGAATCTCAAGAACATTAATAGCTAGCACGTTTGAGTGATGACTGGATCTGTGATGAGCTTGTGGTGTTACAATAGCAAACTTTGAACACCCATTCAATGTATCAGAAGACAAATAATCATTGGTAACAGCAAGCTGGATCTGTAGGATATCCATGTGCTTACTTGAGCCAAAAAGCTAAGTGCCAATTATTCAGTTTGCTTGGTTACAAGGGCTGATGCATCAACTCTCTTTTTCCTCTGTGAAACAAAATCCTAGACGTTGTAGTATGCTATTGTGCATAAATGAAATTTGTTAAATGGAATTAATAAGATGTAAATTACAATCGGAAACGCATAATCTTTTGAGAGAAGATTGATTGTTGTGCGCCAATTGTTTCATGATTGTTTGTCTTTCATATGTTCTCACTTCTGAGGCAGTGTAATAATTATATCTATGATCCTCCAGTACACTGTGAAGAACTTGCAATTTGCTCGAACAGTCGAACCAAACAATGCAAGTATACATCAGAAGTTAGAATGGGCTTATAAACAACGGGGAGAAGGCCTCCCCACTGTACCCTCAACCATTGAGGAAGAGATGGAGACGAATCCGTTTATGCGGGTGGATCAACCAGAGCTGCAGGTTTTTCATTTATTACTCTTTTCACGTGATGATTATGATTTGAAAACCGTGTATCTATAGGCTGGTTTCCTAAGGTCTTCCATTTGATTTTTCACTTGCACTGTATAACTGACCAATTATATGATGTTGTTGTTCTGATTCATTTATATCGGGCTCTTCTTATGATGTAATTCATGGCATCTTGGCAGAGTAAGGTTGGTTGTGGATCTCCTGTTGAAGCTCTACAGGAAATAAGACGGTTGAAGGACAACTGGAAGGGCTAAACAGGATACTTGCTATACTTTGCATTCCCCTTTTGTGGGGTAGGAAAACACTTGAAACTTCTATATCTTGTGGGTGGCCTGTGCTGGCTCACTTGGTTTAGTATTAAACTTTGGTAGATTATGTAACAGGTCATGTTAGTCTGGGTTGATGAAACACTCATTTGAATAATTAGGTACTCGAGACATTGTCGTGTATGCTGTCATTCCAAAAGGAGAAATGCTTCTGTCATGGATTGTGTTTTTCTCCTCTTGCTATATTTGAAGACATTATTTTTAGTCATCTTCTTATGCAACAGGTTTCGTGCATGTTATATATATATATACACACACACACACACACACACACACTCACACACTTACACTTTTCCCATGGATTTGGCAATCTCTCTACAACTTCGAATGATGCATTATTATTATATTTTTGCTTTTACGGAGGGGACCCTCTATTTATTATTGTTATTATTATTTTTTTCATTTACCTATTCTCTACCGGAAGTGGAGTGGAGGACAGAAAGCTGTTTCTATGTCCCGTATCATTTGGTATGCAGCCTTGCTCCCTTTTTCTTTTATCAAACTTTACCTCAGATCTCAATCATCTGTCTGCAAAATCTCGCAGAGTAGATGCAAATATCCAATTTACCAGTTCACAAATCTAAAGGGTGATAATGGGAATGTAAGACCTTGGGGCCATGGCAACGGGCATGGTGCTTGTGGGATCTCCACAAAACCACTTTTTCTTATATAATTCAACTTTGATTCTCTGTTTTTCCCAGAGCTTTAGGGGAAATGTTAGTGCATGGACTGTCCCTAAAGGTAACTGTAAATTATGGGAGAGACATTACTGTTCTGCACCCACTTACTCTCGTAAGTTGTACCGCACAACACTTTCCAAAATCGATCATGACAGCCCTAAAAAATTTGAATACATCATTTTTAATATAGTTGTTTTCTTCAGGCGATGGAAAAGCAGAAATCATGGGCTACTACTACTTAGTACCACAGCCAAATTAAGCATTAGCAGCTTCTGTTTAAACATGGAAGTTCATATGTTGAGAGAAAATCCTTTGGTTCTTATTATTATTATTATTATTTTTGTTTACAAATATATATTTAATTCAACGAGAATAAAAATAAGACGCAAATTTTGTTAGTATAATATAAATTTTTTTATTAAGAAATAAAGATATTTTTATTTATTAATGAAAACCTTAAGATGGTAGAATCACGAACATATATTTTAAAAATAATTCGAAAACATAATTTTAATTAATTAATTAAATTAATAATTAACAATAGTAAAAAATATGTTTAACATTATTGTTATTTTATTAATTTAATTAATTAGTTAATACTATTATATATATATATATGTATAGAGGATGGTATAAAACTATGAGGATTACTTAACATCTATTAAATTAATATGAAATATTAAAAAGATTATTAGAGAGATATATACATTAGTTACAAGGTCTTGCTTACAAGAATTTTATTCTATCCTCACCCACTTAATTCCAACCAAATAGTTTTTAAATTAGACTATGTTTGTAATGATTGGATTTTATTTACAAAAAAAATATATATATATATATATATATATTTAAAAATTCACAGTATTGAGTTATACATACATGGTATGTATGTATGTATGTATGTATGTATTTATGTATGTATGCATGCATTCTTTTTTATAGTGTGGATGTCACATGTGAATTGTTGACTTCTATATTTGGCATATGATGTTTAAATATTCTTTTAGTAAATTTCCAATGTATTAAACATCATTTGTTATGGTTGATTTGATCAAATCTTTAGGTTAGATTATTTAATTTTTATTTCAAGAAATTTAAAAATGAGGGTATAAATATAAACTAAAGAATAAAGTAAGTACATTATAATTCTATTTACTAAATTAATATAATATTATGAAAGTTAAGTCCGAAAATGAGTTCCAATAAAATTTTTAAATCATGATTGATAAACATATTCAATACCAAATATTTTTTAATTAGATGATTTATATTTTTATTTCTCTTTATAAGAGTATAACATATGTTCTCATTTTATGATGTTATATTATGTATTGTGTGTATGTATTACTTAATTTATGAAATTTATAAGTTTTTCATAAGAAAAAAAATAAAATGTATGTTATAATTTAAAAATTATTTTATTCGGTAACTATTTCAGAGTTTTCTTATAAGAGAAATTTAAAAATTTAGAGATGATAACTGTGAAAATTAGAGGCAGAATTTGTCGAACTTTATATGTCTGATAAAATATTAAAATATGAACTCGGGTGAGATTTTGTGTGTGGTTTAGAAATTTTTATTTTTTAAACTATATATTATATTTATATTTATACGAGTATATAAATACTTAGATATTTATATTTAAAAACTTATGTATTAATAAATATTTATATACTCTTTTAATATAACACAAATATTTATATTTAATATATATATTGAATCAAGTTTTCAGATAACCCAAATATAATACGATACAAACCTACTATAAAAGATATTAATATACAGTGTATAATTTAGAAAGAAAGAAAAAACAAACTAGTAGAATTTTTCCCAAGGTTGATGGTCAAGTATGCAAAGCGCTAAGAAAAAGGACGTGGGTTTGTGCTAAAGATAAAAAGAAAATGCCCTTGCAGTTGTTTGGCTATTAAAAGATAATATATATATATATATATATACACATATACACACATAAATATGTATGTATTATCTTGGTGCAAAATCCATTTTAATCTTGTAGGTTAAGATTTGTGATTGTGAAGATCTAGAGTCGCTGTCCTGTCTCTGATTCTCATGACGACAATGACCCCATCTCTTCTCCTTTCCACCATAAAAATCAATCTTTGCTTCCTTATTATATTTCGCCTAATCTTCCCTTTTCTTCCTCCTTACCTACACATCTCTCTCTCTCTCTCTCTCTCGAACTTCTTCTTTAGCTCTACATTATATCTGTATGAGGAAGAACTGGGGAGAGTTCTTAAGTAGCTCAAACATCATCACTCTACTTCAGATTTAGGGTTTGGAGTAAAACACAAGCATATTTTATGAATATTAGCTGTTGATTAGGTTAAATCCTTGATACTTTTTCCCACTGCCTCTTTCTTTCTCTCTCTCTCTCTCTCTCTCTCTCTCTCTCTCTCTGATTTACTGATCTGTGTTATCTTTATATGTGATTGGTGGAAAGAATAAACAGCTCTCCTGTGCTTGCTTTGTTCATCATCTGACAAGGGTTTCAGGGTAATTCAAACTTTTCTTTGTTTCTTTTTCTGCATATGCATTTTCAGTAACTACTCTCAGTCAACAAGTATACTGACTCTTTACATAGATATACACTTATATATTCTGGTTATTTATTGATAACAAGGACCTGGATATAGTACTATCTGATCTACTTACGTATACATATATGGATAAATATATATTTGGTTCTCTTCTTGATTTCTTGTTTCATCTTTTCTAATTGTGATCCTGTGGAGGGGGCAATTATTGATCCTTTTCTCTTCTGCCTATATCCCTGTCAAATAGTACTTGGTTTTGTTTTAGCCACAAATCTTCTGGTCTTGCAAAGTTCCTTCTGATCTCTCCCCCTTTCTCATTTTTTCCTCCTCTTATATATGGATCATCAATTTGCTGTACACACACACACATTTACTGTAGTGATAATTAGCTAGCTAATTTGTTAGTATGTAAATTAGATCCCAAGTACCCTGTTATATTTTTTTAGGCTTATCCTATGCATACCTGATAGTACAAGAACTTAGTTTGTAATTAGGTACTTGGTAGTAGGGTTAGATTAATTACTGTCTTGAAAGAGAACTTATCCAACAAATAGAGCTATGAAGATTAAATTAGGTTTTAGTCTTATTAAGATTATTATATTACTAGACAAAAACAGTTAAATTTTTTTAATTGGGTAATTAGGTACTTAGCAATAGGGTTAGATTAATTACTGTTTTGAAAGAGAACCTACCTACAAATAGAGTTGAAATGATTATGTTTTAGTCTTACTAAGATTGTCATATTTCTGGAAAAAAACAAATCTTGAAACAGATAATTCAGATAGTCATGATCAATGGAAAAAACATCATGGGTGTGTGCTTAATTAAGCTAATATATATATATATGAAGATATAATGTTATGCACACTAGCTATGAATTTGTAAGAATAATGAAGGATAAAGATGATATATTTAGATGTTATAAGTGTAAGTAAGGTGGAATGGGTTGATGGGTAGTAGTAGTAGTAGTAGAGATGATTGGTGGAGAGAGCTTCCTTCAGCCCACTCATGGATGGGTATGAAGGGGTAGAAGTAGCTGCCGACTCATTCATTCAGCCACTCAGTATGTAAACTCGTCCCACTGTTGACTGTATGAATGATGCGGGAGATATTTTTACATCCATCTTTCTCTGTGCTTGGACTGAAGGGAGCTCCTTCTTTCTCTTCATTCCCCCTACCTATATCTATATATATATATATACATATTATATATACTAATAATATTTCAGCCTCACTTTTCAGCGTATCTTTTTCTCCTCATGATTTACGGTTAACTTATCAAAATTATTCATACCATCCTTGAGGTAATCTCCCTCAAATCTCTAGACATAAAATGCTGGTTTCTTTACCCTACTTTTACTTGTCTTTTCTGTTTTACTTGCACATATATATACATACATATTCGTACATTAGTGCAGCAGCAGCACGTACGATCAATACATTACAAGGCTTTCACCATGGCAATAAATCAACCCAGATGATTCTGTCTGTCTTTACTTTACCCCAGACCCAAGCCAGTCGCTATTCATACATGAATAGACGGGTGTATGAATGAACAGACATGGAAAGTAAGCCACTCACTCCTCGGGCTTCTCTATACTCTGCAAATTTTTTAAATACAAAAAAGTATTCCTCTGCTTGCACCATTTGCATTCTACTCTTTTACTTTTTCTTCGATTAACGTGAACTTAGTCAGCCACATATATGTACGTATATATAATCTTTTTTCTAACACACACACACACACACACACACATATATATATATGTAAATCGTATGGTTATAATTAATAAAGAAGCTGGCAAGGTGTTTTCCGTTTTTTACAACTCAACGTTGGAAATGGAAGCTTTCAAACAGTGCCATTTTTGTCGATTCGATGGCCTTGAGGTGTTCTGGATATCATACATATATATTATTATAATTGATTAAAAGTAATAATGTATATGTAGCTCCAAGTTTCGAGGTACTTGCTTGAATATGCTTGAGGGGTAGTTGTAATATTTATATGTGAAATGTACATTAAGCCACATGCTTGTTGGGTTTTGGACCCTGAGAGAGGGTTTTAAAACATTATACCGACATATGAAAGTGTGTAAGGTATATATAATGTCTCATTGTATATGTATATGTATATGTTGTTGGAAACACAAGTTTCCATTTTAGTAATGAATTATATTTTTCTTATGAATATTACTAATAAATTATATTTGTTGAAGATTTGCCAAATATGGACGAGGCCATCTCCTAGGCTGAGTTCCTGTTTTGGCTAATGACCGACCCGTTCGCAAAAATGTCAATAAGTTTCTACTTTGAAGTAAGCATCTCTACTTAGGCCACCCTAATACCTACTCTTAGCTTCTCTCTCTCTCTCTCTCTCTATATATATATATATATATATGTGTGTGTGTTAATTTTTTAAAATTCGGAAAATATTAATTTATTGGGTAAATTATAAATTTCACACTTTTCTAGTTTGATTTTTAATATTCTTTTATAATTAATATTAATTTTTTAAGATAAAATAATTGAAGATATTTTTAAATAATTTAAAAGAATGATTTTAATTAATTAATAATATTAACTCTATCAGCCCATTTTAATAAACAGTTGTACGAAGATTCATTAATATTGAGTATGTTGTCGTATGTAAAAAGTTTATCAATGTTTAAATTTAATTTTATTATAATGATTTATTAATATTTGGTCGTAATAGTTATTTTTATTTGACTTAATAGTATGATATGATTGTATATTTTAACAAAATATTTATTTTTATCATATTTTATTTATGTAGTAATAAATAAAAAATAAAAAAATTTAAAAAAAAATATAATGTTAAATATGGAGATATATAAATATATAATTAAAAATATAAATATTTAAATTTAATTATATATATATATATATATACAATAAAATAAGAAGAAGAAGAGATGTGTGACTCTTCTTGAATCAGTGTTGGGTAGAAGAAGAATAAGAAACTCTAAAAAAAAAAAGGAAAAAAAAAGAAGAAGAAGAGCGAAATAGGTAGAATAATTTAAAATAAAAAATAATTTTATAAATAATAAAAAATATTAAAAATATAAGAAATTATCAAATTATCATAAAATTACTGAATTAGTAGTTTAAAAAAAATAAAAAAAAATAAAATTTTAAAAATCATGACTCCACTAATAAAAAATTATTATATATGTTTATAAATATAAATATAAATAAATTAAAAAAATTATGAAAAAATTATATCATCCTAAACCTTCGGCCAAGCAGTTTTCGAAGCCAAATCATTTCCCTAACCATCGCCTTGTGCCCACCAGTCAATTCCTTAAAAGCTCAGTACGACGACGTTTAGAGACGGAATAGAAATTATCTGTTTGTTTCAAGGGCCCAAAACGCGACAAAATAGAAAGATCTCATCTCACCCCTCTGTTCGTTCGGATTCCAGAGAAAAGATAGGAGAGAAGGAAATATTGGGATGACGATGGAAGATCTTCATAAGTCTGTCATCACGGATGCACAGGAGGAACAAAGGCGCGAGATAGAGGATTGAGCCACTTAAAAAACCCTCCAATAACCATTGTTGCAACAAGGGAGCTGGAGGAGAGAGAGAGAGAGAGACAGAAGATTGACAGCAAGGTTAACTGGCTTCATTAGAGTAAGGACAAGGACTTTGGCGGAGTCTTGGATTGTCTTGTACGCGTGATTCGCCGGTCGAAGACCTCCTAGGTTGAAGATTTAGAACGAGCGGCCAAGATACCGAGTCTTCGCCTGTAAATGGCGATGAAGATGGCGGCTAGGGTACGGAGGGGGAGAGGAGAGACAAGAGCGAAGAAGAGCCAATTGTAGGTTTCCTGAGAGAGCAGGATGGGGAGAGAGAGAGGTTCTTTGTTTGGAATTTACTGGAGCAGATTGAGGGATTAGGTTTTCAAAAAGAGAAGAGTTGAGAGCTTCTGAGAAGAGCCAGAATCTAGAACTGAAGGGAGGGCAGATTCGTGAGAGGGAGGATTTAGCAAGAAAGAGCTAACAAAGAACAGGTGAAGTTAGAGGCAGAATCGGGGTGAGAAAGAGAGAAAGAGGAACCTATTTTGGTACCCGTTAGTGGCGAGATTAAGCGCAAGTAAGTTGTGAGAAATCCGTGATTCATAATCATGATGTAATTAGCTTTCCTTTTAGTATAAAAGATCAGATCAAATATGGATGAGGCTGAGTTTCTTGTCTTTATTCATGCGAGAGCTGTCCTATACAAGGCCTATTGAACCTGTTAGTTTGTGTTAAATTTTGAAAGCTGATTGAACTTTGTGTTTGGAAAAGTCACAATGAGTATGGGTTTCCTTGAACTGAATCTACAGTGCTGATATGCCATGGAATTGACTGAGTTTATATTTATGCCAATTTTAATGTAATAATCACAACTAGAAGACCTGGTCCATCGCGGTTTTGAAGATGTACATGGATTGTGCTATTGTTGTTGAGTGCATGGAATGTATTTTGATTTTGGCATGGATGCTGAAAGGAGCATGTAGGCTGTGAAAATCAAGAGGTTATTTTGGGTTTGTTTTGCAATGACTTAATGGCTGGTCTGGGATAAGTTGGTTAAACTACATATTCTTTATTTCGGGTTGTTCTTTTTTATTCAGTAGGCTATAGTGTGTTAAGCTTCTTTCTTTTTCCAATCTTTTCTTATTAAGATTCCCCCTAAGACAAATGAGTGGGAGATTTATATATTCAAGCATGATGCATGAGTGAAAAGGCACTTCCTAGTTACTGATCTCTCCTTTTTGAGTGCATTTCTTGCCACATTGTTTACGTAAATTTATGAATGAGGTCGCTTTTGGATGCCCTTTAAGTTTAGTTTAGAACCTTCAGTTTCATAGTAGATTGTTGCATAAGCATATATTTAGGTTAAACATACTGCTTTCTATTTTAGAGACCTAAAAACCATGTCCCTTTAGGCTTTGTTTTCCTCATGTAAAAGGGGAGTTTTGAGCAAACAAAATGTGTATTCTCACTGTTTTTGTTGAAGACCTACAGAAAATGTCACTTTAGGCTGTTTTTTCCTCATAGAAAGGGAATTTCAAGCAAAAGAAATTGATTGTTTTTACTGTCTATCCTTCTAAGTTACTGTTTTTATACAAGAAGAGCTTACCTTTTGTTTCTAAAGCAGCTTGATCTTAACACAAGTACCCGTCCCTGTTTTTACCCCTTTGGAACATGTGACCAGATTTTTTACATTTAGTGACTTTTTTGCTTGTGTGCAACTTTGGATATTTTAACAGTAGATTATTTTGACTGCAGGTCTTTTTACATTCTATTAAGTTTTGATTAATATGATACAATCTTAAGTCCCTTAATCAGCTCTCTGATTTTTTCATTTAGCATTTTGAGCACATAAATTGGAAATTGAGTTTTGCTTGCGTGCTGCTCTGGGTTTTTGATGTAATGGTAGATAGTTTTGACTCTTGGTCCCTTTTATGTGCGATTAAGTTTTGATTAGTATGATGCTATCTTTAGTATCTTGATCAGTTCCTTGGCTTTCCCGCATACAATTTTGAGCACATAAATTGAAACATTGGTAGCAATTTCTGAAGTCTATGCCACCAGATGGGTGCCATACACATTCCCATTCAGCTCCATTTTTCGAACCCAGTTTCGCTTTTGTGACCAGTCCATGGTTTGTTGTGCAATACTGCTTTCAATAGTATTAGTGGCAACTCTTTTAAATTTTGAAATTGTTTGTGGGTGCCTCACTGCCATAATTGTGGCAGATGGATCAAGCACAGTTTGAACATGTTACTTTGTTGTTTTTCTATTCCTTACCGTCATCAATTCAACTTCTTATTTTTCTTTATGCAGGATTTTGCCTGTGCTTTTCTGGTGTTGTTTGTCCTGGATTTCTTTCGTTTCCTACTGCTATTCGTTCCTGCAGAAACTGCTATTGACTGTTACCTTACCCAAAATGAGTTCAACTAGTTCAATATCTAGCGGAATTCTTCCATCCAAAATGCTTGGCACCTTCGAATCCCCAATTACTGGAGCTTCCGGTTCTCTAAGCCAGCCTGAACCAGAGTTCAATGACAGTGGTGAGACACAGCTGCTCTCTTTGTTCTGGAACCAGGATTATGGCTGCTTTGCTGCTGGCACAAGTTGTGGTTTTCGTATATATGACTGTGAACCATTCAAAGAAAATTTCAGACGTGATCTGAAGACTGGCGGATTTAAAATTGTTGAGATGCTGTTCCGTTGCAACATCTTGGCACTTGTTGGTGGTGGAGCTAATTCAGAGTATCCTGCAAACAAAGTTATGATCTGGGATGATTATGAAAGTCGCTGCATGAGTGAATTTTCATTTAGGTCTGAGGTTCGTGCTGTGAGATTAAGACGTGATCGCATTGTAGTGGTTCTTGAGCACAAGATATACGTCTACAATTTCAAGGACCTGAAACTCCTTCATCAGATTGAGACCCTGTCAAATCCTAGGGGACTGTGTTGCCTTTCTCACCATTCAAATACATCTGTGTTGGCTTGTCCAGGTCTTCGTCGAGGACAGGTTCGAGTTGAACACTTTGGGCTGAAGATGATGAAATTAATTAATGCCCATGATTCTCATGTTGCTTGTATGACCTTGACTTTGGATGGCTTACTGCTTGCAACTGCCAGTGCAAAGGGTACATTGATAAGAATTTTCAACACAATGGATGGAACTCGGTTACAAGAGGTAATCTCTTCATAATTTTGATTTGTATTTATTGGAAGTAGTATTAAGGTTAAGCATATATTTAAAAAAAAAAACAAGAGATAATCTCTTCATAATTTTGACATGTATTTATTGGAAGCAGTGTTAAGGTTAAGCATGTAATTGTATTAGCGTTCTCACCCAAATCTGTGTTTGTTGTGCATGCACATACTCATAGCGTGGTTGTGAATTAAGGACCTGGATTTGTAAATAAGACAATTTAAATGATTCGTAATTTTCTGATAGAAACATTTTGATATGATATTGACGTATGAAGCATCATATATGTTGATTTCTAGTGTAGATGATGTTGTAGATTGGACCATTGATGATCTTATTAGGTGACATGAAGTCAGAAGTTGCAATGCTGGTACTTATGTGCTCCACATCACTGTTAATATGCTTTCTTGCAATATTGACCCACTAAATTGGTACTTCTGTATAGCTACGAAGAGGAGTGGACAGAGCAAATATTTTTAGCATCACTCTTTCACCAAATGCGCAGTGGTTGGCTGTATCCAGTGACAAGGGTACTGTTCATATATTCAGTCTTAGAGTTCGAGTATTTGGAGATGACTCATCCTCTAATTCAAGTTCTGGTCAAGGTTCAGCACTTTTTAATCAGAATTCTTCAAATTCTCTTGATGCTCTTATTTCTCGGAATACTGGTGCCAATCCTGGTTCATCATTATCTTTTATGAGAGGTAACTTGTATTTACTAATATGTGGTTATGGGAGGTGAAGCATTACATGTTTCTATGGAGTTTTTTGTTTCAGAAAGAAGCGAACAAGAGAATCACAGTAAACAATAAATTTGTTTGTAGTTCGCATTCAGGTTTTTGCACATGCTTGAGTTTGTCAACTCATTTTGTGAAAACTACCCCAAATAATAGACTTTCAAGTGTCAATTACTTTCCTGTATAAATTACGAAGCACGAATAATATAAGCATCTGACATTTATATCTTAGTGCTTTTTTATTGAGTTACTTTATAAAGATGAAGTCACGTAGTTCTGCCATAGAGAGCATATGAATATCCACTTGAAAAATCTGTAACCCAATATATTTCCTCCCCTAGCTCTCTCCCTTTTTTTTTCTAGGGATCATCCAACATTCTTTCTTTTGACTTTTTCCAGGGGTTTTACCTAAATATTTTAGCTCGGAGTGGTCATTTGCACAGTTTCACTTACCGGAAGATACTCAGTTCATTGCAGCATTTGGGTCACAAAATACCGTTGTTATTGTTGGCATGGATGGGAGGTATATTATTGTTATCATTCTTTTGATACTCGGTACTCTTTTGCATGCAAATTTGTGTTTCAGTTTAGTTATTTATTCTAAATAATTTAATTGTTAAATGTGCTTTGTTAATCTATATCCCTAGTAAAAAAAAAAAAAAAACTGATGTTTGCTTCTCCTCAGACACCTCTCTCATACTCTTCTTTGTAACTTTTCATTTTATACATGTGCACTTTTTCTATCTTTGAAGCAATTTCCCTCCGTTTATTAGTTTCTACAGGTGCAGTTTTGATCCTGTGCATGGAGGAGAGATGTTGCAGCAGGAGTATGTTAGCTTTCTAAAAACAGACAGACGGTCTGGATAGGTCGTCCTATTTTCTCTACTCCGATCTTCTTATCCACTGTAAATATTGAATTTTAATACCAGCACTAGCAATGTACATAAAGAACAAACTTATCAAGTACTTCCTTCTTGTGTAAGTCACAAGAAGCTAAAATGCCTATTTGGCGGCTGTTCATGATTT